CGAATGGTACACAGGCACTGTGAGAACGAGTATGGTGATCTCCCCCCCGCCCCACAAAAAAAAACCAGAATGACCGTGTAATCCAGAATTCCCCTTGTGGGTAGGTACCGAAAGAAGTGAAAGCAGAGACCCGAAGAGACATTTACACTCTCATGTCCGCAGCAGCATCGCCCACGACAGTGAGAACGTGGAAACAGCCCGAGTGCCCACTGACAGGCGGAGGGAAGGGCCAACGGTGGTCTGCACTCCCAACCGGACGGAACAGCCTCGAAACGGAGGGGACCACCCCGCCGACACACGCCTCAGCACACAGACACGCCGAGGACTTCACGCTCAGTGAGACGAGCCAGTCACAAGGGGACAAACATTGTGCAATTTCACCTTCTGTGAGCTGCTGGGCGTCAGAACGGTGGTTGCCCGGGGGAGGGAGAGAGGCCGTTACGGTTTGAAAGGCGTACTCAAAAATGCTTGAGATGGTAGATGTGGTGTTATGTGTATTTTACCGCAACAAAAATACAGTTAGCATGTACTGTAACTCTCAGGATCTCGGTTCCCTTGTGTTTAAAGGAGGATCTGACGAGACAGCAACGAAGACCCTCTCCCTTCTGGGGCTCTAGGCCTGACCCACGCCCACCTGCCTTCTAGAAGGCCTGGCAGCAAAGAGCCCCGCGGCTCCAGCGTGAAAACGGAGCCCAGGACCAGACAGGCACTCAGGAAACGTTCCCCGGTGGGATGGATGGCAGACCCTCCCCTAAATGCCAGGCCCGCTGCAAGCAGAGAAGCCAGGCAGGCCAGCGTGAGGCTGGTGCCGTTTAGAGGAAGAAATCCAGAAGTCCCCCCAATCATCAGGCACTGAGGGTCAGCCCAGGCACTGGGGCCCCTGGGGAGAAAGTGGAACCAGGAACCCCAAACCCCACTGGGTGGGACGGGGAACCAGTCACGGAGCCTTTCTGAGCCCCCGTGCTGCTCTGCACGGCCTGCCCCACCCCCCACCCCAACCCCGCTGACCAGGACGGGCTTCCCCTGCCCAGGCTTCCGCACGAGTCACCATAGGCTCCCACGGCCCCAGGGTCAGAGGAAGGGCTTGGAAGACCACAGCTGCTGTGCGAGTGAGAGTGCCATCTGTCATTATCAACGGTACGAGGGTGGACTCTGAGATGCCAGACAGCTGAGTCGAAATCCCAGGCCCCCCTCTGGACGTCTCTGTGGTCGTAGGCCTCAGGTCCGCCTCTGCGATGTTGGATAATCACCGCACCTCCCTCCCTGCATTGTGGCGAAGGACACGTGAGCTGACTTCTGTAAAACGTTCTGAACACAGGTGGGCAGACAGAAAGTTCCGTACGAGGGTCAACTTTCCCTTATGGCTCTGATTCCTGCTATAAGTGAAACCGACCTAGCATTGTCATTCCCCATCTCCCTCCTCCTCCCACAGACACCCCACCCTGACCTCCGACTCCCAAGGACATTTCAAGCACCCTGCATGGGGCCGGCCCGTCTCCTCCGCACCACCCCCCCCCCGGGCCGGGTCCCCTGAGTGCCAGGCTGCACGTGCAGAAGGGCTCAACACGCAGCCGACCTCGGTGGCCGCTCCATTTGGCTGTCACCCTCGGGAAGTTCCTTTGGATTCTTATTTTTCAGAAGTTAAGAAAAGCTGCTTCAGCTCTTTCCAAGGATCAGGCGTGTCCGTGGCAAACCAGGCCTCTCCCCTCTCCATCCTGCCCCCACCCGGGGACCCCACAGGAGGGAGATGACCCTAGGACCCTTCTACTCAAGGCCTTAAGGCAACATCTGTTGAGCAAGAGACGAAAACACTGGTTGAAGATTAAGCCACTTTGCCCTGGCTGGCCTGGCACAGGCTGGAAAATGTGTTTGGCTGGCAGGGGCCAGAGGCTGGGCCAAAATTCTGTGCCCAAGGATGATGGTCCTGATCCCAGGGGTGGAGTGGGGGCGGGGGGTTAGGATTTAAGCAAGATGGGTGAGCTGGGGACCGAGAAAAAACATGACAGACAGGCAGACAGTGTGCCACAGGAGGGAGGGGGCTGGGGGGGGGGGGGCTGAGCCCAGCCCTGCAGAGGCTGAAGGGCAGGCAGAGAATGGAAAAGGAAGGAAGAATCCAGCCCGCCCTTTCCTCCCTCTTGTGAACCTGCTCAGAGCGCTTGCCTCGCCTGCGGTGAGGAAACAGGTGCTGAGTGCTCTCAGGGGGGAGCCTAACTTTCTCCCGTTTCCCCTGGGCCACTTTCCCACTCCCTGGGGACAGCACAGAGCGCCCAGCTGGAGGCAGGCCCCCCACTAGGCTGTCTCGTTTACTGAGCACCTAATCTGCACCAGGCATCCAGCTGAATGCCTGTCTTTCAGTCGCTCAATAAACATGTGTTGAGTACCTAATTAGGTGCCAGACAGTGAGGATACAGCAGTGAACACAACAGATAAAAATCCCCTGTCATGGAATTTACATGCTGCTGGTGTGCGGGAGGGGGGAGTGCCTCTTAAACAAGATAATTAAATAAGACTCATAGCTTATCAGATGGTGATGCATGCTGGGGGGGCGGGGAAAAGAAAGCAGGGAAAGGAGAGAGGGTTGTTGGGGAAGAAAAATGCTGACACTGAGTAAGACCTGGGGGAAGGAACGAGCTCTGAACGCATCTGCAGGAAAAGCATTCCAGGCAGAGGGAAGAGCACATGCAAAGGCCCTGAGGTAGCATGCTGCCTGGTTATGTTCAAAGACCAGCAAGAACAGGGAGGTGGCTGGAGCAGAGTGAGCGAGGGAGAGAGCTTCCTGAAGGAGATGGGGCCAGAGAGAAAGTCTGTCTTGTAGGGCCGTGCAAGGCCATGGAACAACCTGGGGCTTTTTCTCCAAGTGGAGTGGGCAGCCACTGCAGGGTTCTGAATGCACATTAGTTAAAGGGGTCAATTTGCTCCTCTTATTCTCTGAGCCTTACAAGGTAGGTAGCATTACTAACTCCCAATCTGCAGCAGGGAAACTGAGGTCCAGAGAGCCTAAGCAGTGTGTTCAAGGTCACATCCCCAGGCCCGGGGAACTGGGACCCAGAGGGAGGTAGTCGAACTCCCCCACTCTTGACCTCTGTTGTGGGGGTAGTTCCAGCTCAAGTGGAGGAACCTCTGGGAGCACAACCTGGCACCACAGCCACTTCACCACCAGGTGGCTGACGCAGCCTCTGTGAAGGTCAGGGTCTCCAGCACAGCGGGCACATCTCAGGGACGAGAAGACTCCGTCGCTCCGGCAGGAGCCCCTCCTGGGACTAACTGCAGTTCTGCTGCTGGAATGTCAGCCCAGTCCCCCCTGTCCCAACCCCTGACCCTTCCTCACATAAACAAACCTCACGAGACTCCCAGCAGCCAGGCATCTGGCTTCCGCCAAGAGATGCCTAAACCCCAGGTCCCCCTCCCCCAACCCCCAGCCATCCTAGACCGGCCAAGGACATTCTGTTCTCGGGGGCAAAGTGGCAGTGGGGCTGGAGTGATGAGACATCCGCTCACCCCACCTGACCCCTCCCGCCGGCCCTCCATGGTGTCCCACAGAGACTTGTCACTGGCAGCTCGGAGCTGGGCCTGCACTCTGGCCGCATCCCCACAGCGCCCACACCCCTGCCCCTGCTGCCGTCAGATGACCTCCACCTGGGCAGTGTGCAAACGACACTCCACATCTGGAGCAGCACAGCTGGCAGAGCTGAGGCCGGGAGGGTTTGGGCCCAGTGAGACCAGGGAGGAGGGGCCCTGCTAAGAGGGGAACAGTCCGCAGGGCCTGGGCCCCAGCGCACGCACACACAGCGGTGGCACCGCTCTGGGTCCGGGGGCGTCTGAGAGTCACAGGCACTTTCACATACTTTTACTTCATTCCATTCATGACCCTAAATGGAGGGAACTCTCATCAGCACTGAGAAGACTTCTGAGCATCTAGTTCAACCCATCCTTTGACAGAAAGGGAAACTGATGCCCAGAAAGAAGACAGGACAGGGCCATTGTCACACAGCAAATGGGTGTTGGCGAGAAGGAGACTGGATGGCCAGACTGAGATTCCAGTATCCAGACTGAGCAGGTCACTCACTGCACAGGTGGGCGGACACCTGCAACCTCCAGGGCCCCGTGACACCCTTGCCCCGCCCCCAGATCCCCACCCACACCAGTGTCATCGCTGGGCCCTCCACACCAGTGGGTCAAGTTGTGATCACAGGGGGCCTTCCATGCCACACCCCCCCACACACAGGTGCATACATATGTGCCCACACCTGCAGGCGTGCAGACCAGAGCCCCTCCCTCCCCTCCAGCTGCCAGGGCCCTGCCATCCTCCAGCAGAGGGTGAGGAGCAGAAGGGACCTCTGAAGGGCAGGAAGGCAGTGGCAGGGCAGGAGGCAAACGCTCCCAACATTCCAAGTCAGCCCAGCTGGGATCAGTCTCGAGCAGGCTGCTCTCTGCAGCCCACAACTCACAGGGGCCCTGCCCCCAACCTTGCTCTTCTGGAAGGCCAACTGGGGAAGGGAAGGAGGAGTGGAGGACACGGAGAGGGAGCAGAGACTCAGAGCCAGCCCAAAAGCTTGGAGTCGGAACAGGCCTCCTGAATGAGAGCAACTGTCCTGGTAGATGACCTCTGCGGGTCATGCCGCCCATCTCCCCGCCTCCCGCTGAAGGGCACCCGACCCAGAGCCGGGCGGGTGGAGGAGATGCCATCCCCCTGGTCCTGCAAGCCCCAGGACCACAGGCACCTGGCCAGGCCCAGAGACAGGCAAGATGCCCTTTTATGGGTTTTTCCAAGGGCTCTCCAGATTGAAATAAGAGGCCCTGCATCCCATCAGAAGGGACTTCATGACTCATTTCCTCCCAGTCCAGCTTCGACCTCAGAACAAGGCCCCCTCCTTCCCCTGACTTAATTACCCAGCACCCTTGGGGGCTACCAGCATGCCTGGGTCTGAAGGAAGCTGCAGCTGGGAGCGAGCGGAGAGGGGAGGAGGGGCTGGCAGGGTAGGGAACGGACTGTCACTCACCACCAGTTCATGGTTGGATGGAGGAATGCAGGGGGCAGCCACCTGTGGGAGGAGCAGAGAAAAGCAAGGTTAGCGTCTTTCATCCCCACAGAAAACCAGGGCCGCCTGAGATCACTCCACGGCCGCCGCCACCTCCATGCCAGACACCCCTTCCCTCCACTTGCACACACTGACACTCCAGCGCTCGAGTCCACTGGAAGACGAGGTGGCGACGTGGAAAAACGCTTAGGCACTACCGCCCCGGGGGGAGGGGGGCAGCAGAAGGCAAAAATGAAACGTATATCCCAAGTCTCAAGTTCCGTACAGAACGGGCAGACGCTCAAAGACTAAAGGTCAACCAGAATTTTCATAATGGGTTGTGGGGTAACACAAATGAGGATTTTTTTTTCTTTGCTCTAGTTTTCTAAATTTTCTGCAATCCGGTGAAGATTGGTTTGTAAAAAAAATTTTAAAAACGTGTCGAAGGCCTCTAGAAAAGGAAGCGTCACCTCCTTCATTCTCCTCAATGACAAGGCATCGCACCCAAAGGTCAGAGCTGCAGACGGCTGGCAGCTTCCCAGAGTGGGAGGGAAACGGGCTGGTGAGGGGCCCCTGCCAGCCCTTCCACAGAAAGCTGCCGCATGGCTAATAAATGGGGAAGGCCTTGAGAGCCGAGAGCACCCTGTATGGGTGAGTTATTATTGTATCACCATCCTCATCTTCTTCTCCGATTGGCGGGGGGTGCTCGGGAGGTGGCAACTGGGGCCTCCAGACAGAGGGAGGTGGGAAGGAGGGAGGGCTGGATTGCTCCTACCCTAAGATAACATCCCTCAGCCAGGCCAGGCAGCCAACCCTCTACCCTGACAATTAGCAGCGGCCTTTATCAGAGACTCAATGTGTTCCTTCTTTCTAGCTGGGACACGTTTTTCTTGGAGCTCATACCTCCGTCTTGGCTCCAATTCCTGACCCGAGCACCAGGCAGGGGGCCCACAGAGGGAACAAAGGGGGAGGCTCTCCCCGGGGCAAGAGGGTGTCTGGTCACAAGCTGTGGATGGCCAGAGGGGAGGTGGCTGTCTCCCCAGAGAGTGGGCAACACCCCGCCCCAGGGGGGCAGTGATGGTGACAGCCCACGGCCTCGGCTGGGGCTGGGTATTCACAGAGGCTACGCTTCGCCAGGCCCTCCCTCCACCCACCCCCATTCTGTCATCCGACCAGCCTAAGGGATCCCCGGGCTTGACACACCAGCCCAGAAGGGGACAACACCCACATGACTGTGTGCCCTGAGCACTGGAAGGATGGAGAGGCTGGGAGGTAGCGTCTCTGGTCCCTGACTCATGGTACAGTCATGCTGCAGACTGGCTGCCCACCCGTTCTCCAGCACGGAGTCCATCGCCCTACACGCCACAGTACTTTAGGGCTGGTGGGAGAATCCCATGTGAAGCCAAAAAGAAAGGAAGAGCTAACATATACGTAGATGAATATGCACTTACATGACAGGCATTATTATCAGTGCCATACCCATCCATGTTAACTCACTCAATCCTTCCAACAACCCCCCAAGGTAGCTACTGTTAAACATCTCGCTAAGGTGCAGGGAGCACAGAGACGTTAAACAACTTGCCCAAGGTCACACAGCTGATCAGCGGCTTGGGTGAGGTGGAGGGTGCCTGGAGAACAAAGCAGGAGGAAGGGAAGGCCCCAGGGGTGGCTGTGGCCTGCCTGCCTTGCCCACCAGACAAGGTGTCAGCCAGGGGGACCCTGCCCTCTCTGCCAGGCACTTTGAGGACAGGAGTCCTGCATCTGGCCGTGGCTTCCTCCTCTCCGCCCCCCCTTCCCCGTCCCCTCACAGCCCCAAACCCCACCCTGGAGCTTGTAGGTTTCACCAGATAACACCAGGCCCCCAGTGTCTCCTCTCCCCAGTCCTGCTGTCACCCACGGACATTGCCTGATGCCAGTTCATTCTTCGTTTCACGAGAAGGCTCTCCACTCTCCATCTGGGGCTGGGGTTTGGGGAAGTGAGGGGGTCACAAACACATTTTGAGGCGGCAGCAGAATGGACAGGTGTCCTCAGAGACAAGTGGGAGGGACTCCTCTCCCAGCACCACTCTAAGGTGGTGGAAAGAAGTGACCCCAGAGGCAGAGACAGCCCCTAAGGCACAGTCTCTCCCTGAGGACTCGGATCTGAGGAGCAGCAGTGGACCCCGGGGCAGAGGGCCTGGTGCCTGGGCACCCCCAGCAGCCCCCTCCACCCCCACCCACAGCTGTGCATTTCAGCCAGCCTGTGGGCCAGCCCACTAACTTTGTTGTGCATTTCCATGTTTCTTGTCTTTCCCTCTCTCCCTCTCTCTCTCTCTCTCTCTCTCTCTCTCTCAGCAAAGAAATGTTTCCTTAAAAGGCTCTCTCCTTCCCTCTGGCACCCTGGCCCCCAGCCACCCTCTCAGGAACCTGGAATGTGCCAGGGAGAGCCAGGGCCCCCTGCCACTCTGTGGCCTGTGCCCTGTGGCTCCACACTCCTGGTGTCAGCAGGGACCACTCCCACTGCCCCATGGGGACCCAAGCAAGAATCCGCCCTCTGCAAAGGAGACAGACTCAAGAGTGTCCGCAGGGGCTTGGGGCGCCAGCCCCGCCATCCATGCCTGTCCCCGAGGCCAACCGCGCAGGATACAGGGCCCAGGACCAGGAGGTCGGCCCCAGGGGAGGCTCCTGTGTGGTGAACCTCCAATGTCCCACCTACACACGGGGGGCTGAGCAGGCCTGCGGCTCAGTCTTTCAACTCTGAAAATCTAAGGAACAGTAGAAATAGCAGCACAGCCGATACTCCTCCCATCACACTTGCGGCAGGCCAGGCCCCGTTCTTCGTGTTCTGCCTAAATTAACTCTCCAATTCTCACAACAGCCCTGAGCACCCCATGTCGCAGATGAGGAGACTGAGGCACAGGAAAGTTAATAAGCTGACCCACAGAGCAGCCAGGATGCACACCCAGCAGCCTGGCTCCAGACAGGCCCATGCTCCTGCCCTCTCTGCGGGCTCTCCTGTGAACACTCATTCCCACAGAGCCATTCACCGCAATGGCAGGGACAGAAAGCGTAGGGAGGGCCACCACGCGCCCATTACTGTCCTGCGCCCTTTCCTTGGACTCAGTGGACCCTAATAAAAAATGTATGGGGCAGGCACTGTGACCATCCCCATTTCACAGGTGGAGAAACTGAGGCACAGAGAGGGTCGCGATCTGCCCAAGGCCGGCGCTGCTAGCAGTCTCCCGCAGAGCCTGTGAGGCAGAGAGCTGGGGGCGCAGCCGCGAGGTGAGTGTTTCCAGGCCCAGACCAGGCATTCGAGGCCTGGCATTCGTCAGTCCCCACCAGTATTTTCTGAACTTCTCAAGTCCCTGGGCACTACGCCAACAACAAGGCACATCCCTCCCTGGAGGGGGCCCCACCTCCCCACCCCAGGGCGTGAGGGTCTAAAGCGCCAGACAGCAGCCAGCCCGAGCAGGGAGCTCCCTGCACGACCTGGCCCCTCCCTGCTCTCCACTGTCATTCTGTACCCGCCCTCGCTGTCCAGGACCCAAGGCCACACATAAGGGTGGGCTCCTCTCAGTCCTAGCTCTGCTCTTCCTCAGGGCCTCTGCTCTTCCTCAGGGCCTCTGCACATGCTGTTCCCTCTGCCTGAGATGCTCTCAGCCCAGCTGTGAGCACAGCTGGGTCCTTCCCATCCTTCTGGCTTGGGCTGAGATATCACCACCCCAGCGAGACCCTCCCCAACCCCACTGAGTTACACACGCACGCATGTGCACATGCGCACGCCTGTATCTCTGCCTTCACAGACCTCATTACAGTTTGTAATTACAGATTTTTTTGCTTCCTCGTCTACAATCTGTTTCCCCTCCAGAAAATAAGTGTCTCGAGGCGGGGAACACACCTTGTTCATCACACTAGTCCCAGCACACAGTAGGTACACACTAAATATCTGTGGAAAGATGAAAGAGACTCAAAGCCTGAGGAAGGCAGGCACATGTAATTGCCAGTAGTAAAATCCACTGCCATTTGCTAAGCACCTACTATGCACTGGGCAGGAGACTGACCAATCCTGCCGTATGCCTGATCTGAGGTCCTCCAATCCCGTAGTGTCAGTCGTCTTCCTCCAATCATACAGATGAAGAAAAAGAGGCTCAAAGGTCACGACAGTTGCCCCTGGCCAATCAGCTGCAAGAGGCAGGGCACTGGTGAAATCTTGGTCTAAGTTATCCATGTGTTGCTCTTTGCAGGGTAAGCAAAAGCCCAGGTACCACCGAGCATTGCCCTCACCACCTCACTACTGTGCAAGTGTTAGGCCTGGTCTCCAACCGGGTGACACTCCCATCCTTGGGTCTCGGGAAACCCCCAACTCCTAACCTTGCCCAGCCTTCCAGAGGGGCTCCCCACACCCACGCCCCCTGCCCCCTGGAGCTACAAAGGACAGCCTTGCCCCAACACCAGACCAGAACAACTTGTCTCCGAAGCCAGCATTTCACACAATCCTGAGCTGAAAAATTCTTTTTCCCCCCTAGCTTTTGCTGGTTGTGTGTGTGTGTGTGTGTGTGTGATAAAATTTTCATAACGTGAAATTAACCATTTTCACCATTTCTAAGTATACAATTCAGTGGCATTCGGAACATTCACAATGCTCTACAACCACTGTCATTGCCGATCTCCAGAACTTCTTCATTATCTTGAACAACAACCCCACCTCCATTAAACACAAGCCCCCCATTCTCCTCCCCGCTCCCCATCCCCTGGAACCTCCAATCTATTTTCTGTCTCTAAGGATTTGCTTACTCTAGGTACCTTGTATAAGAGGAAGCATACAATATTCACCTTTTTGTTTCTGGCTTATTTTACTTAATGTTAAGGACTGAATTATGTGCCCCCCCAAAAAAAAAACCTCACATGTTGAAGCCCTAACCCCAGGACCTCAGAATATGACTGTATTTCAAGACAGGGCCTTTGAAGACGTGAGTAAGTTAAAGGAGAAGTCCTGGCTGAAGGCGAAGTGTGTAGCTCTGACATTTTTTCACCCTCGCTGT